TTTTCATCAAACACATACTTAATGAGCATAAATAAGTAACAGTTGTATTAACCATACATGTAAACAGAGTTTTATGGGTCCCCCAGGACCTTGGGGCCCTAGGTAGACGCGTAGTATTGCCTAATGGTAAATCCCCCAAAGCTAGCAGCTACACATTTTACCCTTTCATTTTACATTCTTGCTGTTTTGTTGGACTTTTGGGTAGATGTAAAAGGTAAATCTAAAAAATGGTGATATAGGAGATAATCGGAATGATGAACATTTCACAGCAAAGTGCTCTTTTATTTATTCGAGCTTCCAGACTATGATAAAAGAGTAGAGCGCTCATTGAAATACTTTGAAAATCAACATTTCAAGCCAACAGTGTTGTTGGAAGTCAGGACAAGACTTTATTACCTTTTTAACATTCTAAAAACATGGATATTTTGATGGCAACAATTATTTTCAATGTAATAACACCAAATGGCTACTTTGATAAATTAAGAAAATTAGCTATATTGGTTTTAAAAGAAATTAATAAAAAAAAAACACTCAGAGAGAAAGAAACACATTTTCTCTGTTACATCATAATCTTAGTGCATTGATGTTGATATTGGCAAATTTTTATACTTTTTTAACTTAGCTTATTAACTTTACTTTAAGAAATTTTGTTTAGAACAGCTCCCTGGACAATTATTTTTTTTTAAAGTGCAGCCTTTAGCCGGGCGTAAACTGTGGAATGTCAATCGTTGCTCCACAGTGAGATGGCGCTACTCTGACTCGTCTATCTGGAAGCCAAACCTGTTGGGATCTGGAGAATCACCACCTGTCTCCAGCAGGGTGCGCTGTGGGTCTCCTGGGCTGGAGCCCTCCAGCACACCTGAAGCTCATCAGCCCATCAGGAGACCTTCCTATATAAGCAGCAGCCAGACCTTCCTTCAACGCCGCAGTGTTGACCAAGTTTGGTTAGCAAACCTGAGCCTCTGTCATTTTTAGAGAATCTTAGTTGGCTCTAGAGAGAAACTAGATTCTAACCTGCCTTTGTCTTCTTTGCTCACAGGAAACCCAGAAGCACTGGATGAGCTTTGCCTGGAAACCTGCCTGCTGGCCCAAGGAAGCCAAACCATAAGATATCAGTCTGGACTCCTACAGCTCTCAAGGAAGAGCTAGGAAACCAAGTCAAGGTCAGAAACTCACGAGTCAGAAGCTAGACGCTGCTGTTGCTGAGCTCCCTGCTGAATCTACAGTCTCTGGACCCAACCGGTTCCCCCCCCTCAAAGGATCTGCCAGAACCTCTCCAAGGTACATTCTAAATTAACACACTCGACAAGCCATCTAAACTGCTTGGCTAATCAAACTATCCATCTCTGCAGATATCAGTGATTCCAGTCCCGGACCTGTACCAGAACCAGTTCATATTTCTCTGTGTGTGTGCCTTTAATAAACTGTTGAACTTTTACCCCTGACTCCGTGGTGTGTTCTGCATATGGGTTTATCAGAAAGCCATCATGACAAAACCAGTAGAACAGGAACATAAAGCTCACTAGATTGAAACGCTCTGCCTTGGCAATTTGGGCAATTTTGTGCTGAAAGCCCTGAAAAGAAAAGGCGATAACGTATTTGGACGAAGACATGGCTGAGCAAATATGGCTACTACAGTCTGTCAATTTCACAGAAAGAACTCCATTTCACTCATTGCACCCCCGCCATGCTGCTGTGTTTACATCTTAGAGGAAGAAGTAGAAGAAAAATCCTTGCTTGAGCACTGAGTGATTTGTCCACGACGGTCGGCAGAAAACATGTTTGATTTAAGCCGGGCTTACACTGGTCGCCCCTCGTTAGCCCCCTGTACACTAAACCACGAACTATCAGGCTAAAGGTCGGGCTGAGCGGAAAATTCTCGCAAGACTGGAGAATCGCCCTGAAAAGGGCAAAAATAAAAAATAAATCGCAAAGTGTAAGCCTGGCTTAACAGGTGCATCCATGTAGCAGTATCTTTGCTGAATGGCAGGATATAAATGTGCTGCCAAGGCTCAGACTGGTACTCTGTGACAACGGGTCTATAAGTGGGCCCGGTGTAGATGGAAAAATACCAGGGCCGAAAACCGTTCCCAGTTCCCCGTTCCCCCTCCTACGTTTGTAAGTGGTATGCATGTAAGGAGGCTCAGCATTAACTAGGGACAGTTTACACTCATTCTCACCCTTCTGACTGTGCTAACTGCACATTCAGACACTGGTCCCAGTTTATCATGTTGGCTGAGATAACGTCTTTCTTTAAAAACAATGTTTTCTCATATTGTTCTTATTCACACAAGGTATAACATAAATGATTAATTCAGCGGGAAGAAACAGTTGAAGGAAAATCTCTGATTCTGGGTTTTTTATGAGAAATCAGGATTGGTTATAATAAAATAACTTCTGAATAAGATTAAAGCCACAGGGAAGCTCCAGTGAAGCACTACATGGGGTGAGGCTCATAGAGGTGTCTCAGTGACGGGAAAGGAAAAATTGACTTTTCTATGTTATATAAATCTGTTAAAGTCCTTACACCAAAATAATTTCCAAAAAGTTGAGAAGCAAAACACACAGAGCAATTATTAGCTCATGATTTCCCTGCCAATGTCTTTTCAACTGTACAGCCCATTAGCAGAGCCTGGGCAGACTGGTGGATAAGCTGTATTGTCCTGAAGATTATTTAAACACAATTTAAAGAAGAAACTCCATCAGGAATCCAACGGCATGTAAAGTGTTTATGTATGTAAATCCTATTCCCGGCTATATATTTATGGTAATGAAACGGCAGAGCGGCCTGGCAGCACTGGGACTGAAGAGTGTGTAATTACACTAATGCTCCACTGACTAATAGGCCACAGGGGAAGAGGAGTCTGCTGGCTAGTGTTAGCTCACTTACTAATGCACACAATACACCAGCACTTCAGATATGCTCCGTGGCGCCGTGTGCTTCTCAGCTCAGGCTTTTCATTGGACGACACTTAAGTACAAAGCCAGAGTGGGATGCTGAGTGCAGACGGAGGAGCCTGATAGCTGAAGCTGTGAAGCTCCACGTGAACAGGTGTGTATGATGACAATGAGCTTCAGAACAAGCTTATAGAACTGGAGGAAACGGTGAAAAATAAAACAGCTGATATTGGTTCATTTTAAACTGGGTGTCATTTAAATCACACCCAGTTTAAACGGTTTTCTGCTTTAATCTAATCTGGTCTGCTAATTCTAGGCTAAAATTCAGCGATTAAGTTGATTCCTTCCTGCTATTATTGCAACTCCCACCCTCTTTTTAGCCCATTGCTGATCCCCTGCAGAAAACTAGCAAAAACTCTGGATTTTATATGTTACCTTTCATGATTCTGGACTATTTGGTTCCATTTAAATTTTCTTATTGAGTTTTCAGTTTTCTGTGTTTTCTATGTAAGTTTCATTTCCATTTAGTGTCATCTAAGGTATTTTCTAGTTATATTTAAGCACGGTTACATTTATGAGTATATATATATATATATATATATATATATATATATATATATATATATATATATATATATATATATATATATATATATATATATATATATATATATATATATATTCTCTGTTTCCCCCTTGTGTCAGGCTCCTTCCCCTAGCTCCCTTCTAGATCCTTCTTTTCACACCTGCTCCCTATTAGTTAATTACTCCATGCATTGTTCAGTTTGGCATTTAAAATGCTCCAATGTAGTAACTGTTTGCCGGATTCTCCTCATCCGTTCATTAGGTTTATTCCTCCCTGGTGTGTCCTATTTTTTTTGTTTTGGTTCCTGAGTTACTTGTCAATTGGTTCTGGATTTCCAGACCTGCGTGAAGGAAGTGATCTATGTTAAGAAAGAAAAACCAACCGTCAGATTTCAGCTTTCAAAAACCTACAATACTTCCCACTATCAACGCAAACCCTTTATAGGGGAACAGAAGACCTCACCTGTTCAGCCAGGCCAACAATTCCCTTTAACGACCCCTCCTTCAGAGACATAGACAGGTATGGGGCATTGCAGGCTAACAAAGAAGCCAAACGACCTCCATTCCAAAGGAGTGGACCCGTTCGTTTGTTTTTTCAATTAGCATGTCTTCTAAACTAAAACAAGGCTTAGTTGGGCTACTGGATAAAACCTGGAACTAAACGCTATTTCTGATATTTTGAATTGAAAAAGCTTCCTGGATGGAAGAGAAACGTCTTCAAACTTGGAAACAAAGTCTATTGGATTGCTTTTTTTTAAGTTTTTTGGAATATTACTGCAGATCCACCGTTTTTTAAATAAACACTTTTGAATTATCTGACCATCTGTCTGCCTTGAATACTGGGTCCCCTGTTCTGAGCATTGACAATCTTAGACTCTGCACCAAAAAGACGAAGTATTTGGTAGAACTAGTTGGATTCCAATGATTTAGTTTCACATTTTTACACCTTTCACAAGGCATAAAAGATTTGCTACAAGATTAGACTGGATTAACGCATTAGTGCTCTGCTGGATTGGATATGTCAGCGCTCAATACAATGCACTTTATTTATACAGCAAGTTTAACAACAAAACATGTTTCCAATGTTTGTTTGATCGGTTTGAGTGAACAGGGTTTCCACAGGCCATTAAAGTCATTAAATTATTGTTCTCTTTTTTAATTAAGGCTTTAATTGGCAATAAAATTCATTAAATGTGATTATTGTGCCATTTAAAATAATACATTTATAAAAACAATTTCATCAGACATTTTATATCGCAATATATTAGCAAAATATATATATATATATATATATATATATATATATATATATAATGAATGCGAGTCATTGGTGCTTGTTGATGGCATTAAAATAATTTAAGAGCTTTTAAAGGAGCATTAAAAAGCATTAATTAGAGTTAGTCATTCCTATATAAACCTTTGGGAATGTTTTATCGTTTAAACAAAGCTGTGTCTGGATCAGTGATGTTTTCTCATTTCTGTGCATTAAAAATGTTTGTGAATAGGTCCTGACTAACCTGGAAGAAGACGAACCCTCCAGTAGATACGGAGGCAGCGTTCCTCCTTCCGGAAGCCACGCTGGCACTTGCAAGCCAACAGTGAGGGGTTTTTGGCCACCAGGGTATCCTGCCTCTCCAGGCACTCGGACGCCGCTTGTTCCCCCAGCGGTGAGACTGCAGCATCTGCCGAGCACAGCTCTATGCCTCGGTAAAGAGCCTGACACTGTGGGTCGGTGACGCACACTCGGTGGGCTTCAAGACAGTTGGGCACAGGAGGAGGGAAGGGGATTATTTGTGCCGTGGAAAGGATCACACCTGGGAGAAAAAGATAAAAATCATAGAGAGAGGAATAAATGTAAACAAAACATACATAAGAAAAGTGAAATGATCAAAATCACAAACCTATGAAATTCAGAGGAAGAAGGCAAGTTCCACACTTCTTAATTAATAAAGCCCTGTTTTTGGTCATTGGTATGAAGCACATTCTTTCAGATAATTAAAAAAAATATTTCACCTAATAAGTAAACAGAGGACTCCTGTGTGGGATTGAATCCATGTTTTTTCAGTGTTCTGGTTTAAACCTCAATGGTTTGTTAGAAAGTATCAGAAAACATAGAGGATCATAAAGGCCTGGAGAGGAGCCAGTTCTGGCTTCTGATCTCACATCCAACAGAAAACTGTTCAGCCTTCAGTCTGAAAAGCTGCCAACCTACCAGGACTAGGGATGGACGATATTGGGATTTTGTCCGATATGCCGATATTTTAAAACTCTTGTAGCCGATAACCAATATCGATACCGATGTTAAAGCTGGACAAAAATAAGTAGTCATTGAAAATAGTAGTTTTGTTATCCAATTCTGACACTTTGAAAAATAATATACTCAAAAATATTTTCATATGCTGATATCAAATTGATTTTTAAAAACGCGGTATCAATCTATTTCAATCTGAAAAACTCACACAGAGAGAAAAGATAATTAGAAGAATTTATTGATAAGATAGTATAGTCTTTGGCGCTCAGGCCTCGGCAGGAACATTCATGCTGAATTATGCTTTAACATGCATGAGTAGATGAATGAGAATAGGGATGTTCCCCCCGGCCTGAAACTGGTGGTGGTTTAGTTCGAGCTGGTTAACGAGGTGATCTGCTTGAGCTGTATTGTGGGACCAGAGACAACGGGAGCTGACACCGGGGCTTCACTCAGGATGTAGAGGTCTTGCTGGTGATGCAGGTACCATGAACTGTCCATGATGAGCAAGCATGAAGCGACAGTGGAGAGGAAAAACTCCCCTTTGGGAAGAAACCTCTGGCAGAACCGGGCTCAACATGGTGGTCTTCTGCCGGACCAATTGCAATGAGACGAGGGATGGTGACGACTGGGATTAATACTCTCTGATGAGGTTGGGGTAGAAGTCATGTCATGGAAGACGACTCAGCTACGATGGCGAAGGAGGGGATGGAGGTGGGTGAATTGTTGTCTGAATAAAATCTGACATTGCGTTTGCTGGATAGCGGGCTGAGACGGGGATTTGAAGGTGCTTATAAAGTGAAAGCAGGACGCTGATTGGGCTTCGTGGTGGAGTAGTTCGAAGCTGATTGGCTCGCGTCAGAGACGGATCAGCTTCTGATTGGATGGAGGTAAGCCAGAGCTTCTTCAATTGAACTTCCGCTAGAGCTTCATTTTACTTTCAAAATCTGGTGAAATTTCATCGTTCTTTTACGAACTCTCGTGATATTTTGCAAATTCTTGTGAGATTTTGTTAGTAAAATAGATCGATACCGCGTCAATATATCAACATATAAAAATATGGCAAAATTTCGTGAACTTTCGGGGGATTTCGTAGCATAACAATGACATATAGCAATATTTCATTAATAAAAGAGATTGATATGGTGTTTTTAAATGGCAATATGAAGATATTGTGATATTTTAATGCATCAACATTTTTTCCCTCATCTTTAGAAGTTTTTAAGTCTGTAAAAAAGAAGTTTTTGAGGAAGAAGAAGAAGTAGTATTTTTTTTTTAGACTTTAGAAACTCAGAAGCTGATCAAATATCGGATTAAATATCGGTGGGGGGGCCGATGTCCAATATTCAGTTTTAAGGCTGATACCCATAGGGGGCCGATTATATCGTGCATCCCTAACCAGGACATGGCCGTCCACCTGACCTAAAGATCTTTAATCAGAGAAGACAACAAGAAAGCAAGAGCAGCTCTGAAGGTCCTCATGTAATCAATTTAATTCAACAATATTCAGTTTTTTTCCATAGCTCTAATTCTCAACACATGTCATTACAGGTCTCTTTCCAGTTCACAAGATCATCCAGTCAGATTGATTCAAAGTTTTCTTTCTAAGGAAAACCAGCTGATTGCATCGACTCATCGACTCTTCAGCAATCCCTCACACTAAGCATGCTTGTAGTGACAGTGGAGAGGAAAAACTCCCTTTTAACAGGAAGAAACCTCCAGCAGAACCAGGCTCAGTGTGAGCGGCCATCTGCTGAGGCCCACTGGGGTTCAAGAAGACAGAAGCAGACATAGAAAAAGAAGCATAGATACAAACAGCAACTTTCAACCAGCTCCACAGGCGGCCCCGTCCAGGAAACACACAGCCAGGCAGACGAGCTCCGAGCCAGCTCCCATGTCAGAGGATGAAGAGAGCACATCCAGTTAGTCACAGTCAGAGAAACAGGACCACACTGGAAAACAGGCCAAGCTCCAACATCTAGAAACAAAGGTGTTGATGGCAGCAGCACAGCTGATATTTCTCTCCAGGATGGAGTCACAGCCAAACAGGAACAGACCAGATTATTTTTTACAAAGAAGTGGAAAAACGGCTCTACTCAGTCTCAGACACTTTTTCAACTGACCTGTAAAACTACACGGTGAGAATAACCACCTGTTTTTCACCCTGCTAATCCATGGAGGTGGATGCATCATGCTGAGAGGATGTTTTTCATCAGCAGTGAAAGCTGGTCAGAGCTGACTGGATGGATGGAATAGAACGCATGAAAAACCTGGAAGAACTTTGATGTTTAAAGACTTCCTGTTACTACTTATCCTGATCGGTGACGACACAAAAACAGAAAACAAGATGAATTTGCGTCTGTAAAATGCTTGCAGCCATAATGGCAGCCAGTGAGATTCCACCTCATATTCATACAAATGGACTGAAAACAAACATTCTTAAGGAAAAAAGAAATAAAGTTAATTATCCTTGTAGTTATGTACTTCTGATTGAAAGAAAAATTTATGGTTTAAATGTTTTCATTGGTTGTTCTATATTTTATAATTTTGTTTAAACATCCAGTTAAATGGCGAGTGTTCAAAAATTTGAATTTGTCAGTGGATGTGTCTAAATGAAGCATGTTTAACCCAACATGTCAATAATCAGTGTGTTTGTTTTGGCCTGTAGCAGATGTCCACAGCCAGCAGGCTTACTGAAGATGGAGCCAATCAGCTGATTATTTCCCCTCTAGGATCCTCCTCTCTCAAAGGTCAGCAGTGCCAATTTGGTTTGTACCATCCAATTTACCCAGAAGGTGATTTAACTGAAAATCAAACATTAGCAAAGAACTTCAACTCGAGTATGAACAAAATGTTAATCATGAATAAAAAAATATATAATGCCAAACCTGTAAATCAATCAACTAATCACTGAAGTAACTAACAACCAAACAATTAATTAACTAACCATTCATTCAGTTAAATAATCAACAAATCCATTAACCAGCCAATCAAGGAAAAAAAACAATCAATTAAAAGTCAAAAATCAACCACTCAAAAAGGAAACAACCATCCAACATATTATGAAAGCAATAAACCAACCAGCCAACCACACCAGAAACCAACCAATCTGTTTAACAACCAACAAATCAATTAAACGATTCATCAGTAAACCAACCAACCAACTGAATGACCAACAATTAATCAAGCAATCAATTGATAAACCAACCCATTAATGAATCAACAACCACTAAACCAACCAACAACCAACAACCAACTAACAAATCAATTAACCACCCAATCAATCAATCAGTAAACCAACCAACCAACTAATAAAATAACCAACCTATCAATCAACAATTAACCAACTAACCATTCAACTGTCATCATATACACTTAACTTAATTCAATTCAGTTTATTTCTATAGCTCTAATTCCCATCATGTCATCTCAGGTCACTTTCCAGTTCACCAGATCATCCATTCAGATTGATTCAAGGTTTTCTATCTAAGGAAAACCAGCTGATTGCATCAACTCATTGACTCTTTGGCAGTGTCAAATTCTTCAACCATGACGATGACGAAAATATTTCGTCAACGCCCCTTTTTCCCGTGACGATGACAAGAAGAAAACGAACAATAATTGTTTCTAGAAAATAAAAATATGCCGAAAAAAATAAATTTTGAAATAAGATTTTCATCACGAGACTAAGACAGAAGTTTACGAGCCATGGACGAATGGACATTAAGAAATGTAATTGTCTATAATTTGCAAATTTTTCATTTGTAATTGTTAATATAAGTGTTTCTTGAGCTTCATAGAAGATTACGCGTTGTGGGACAGGCGCCGTGTTAAAGAATCAGTGTGTAAAGTTCTATTCTGCACCGTGTTATATAAATAAAATAGAGAAAAAGAGAAGCAGTGTGTGAAGAATTTTTATTCTGTATAATGTGATGTATATGTTTAAAAAAAGCAGTCTGTGGAGAAGTTCTATTATTTACAGCATTGACTAAAATGACAACAATGACTAAAAAGACTAAAGATTTTTTTCATTGTGACTAAGAAAAGATTACATTTAAAGAACGGTGACGAAATTAACACTGATGTCCAGCAATCCCTCACACTAAGAATGCTTGTAGCGACATTGGAGAGGAAAAACTCCCTTTGAACAGGAAGAAACCTCCAGCAGATGAAGAGAGCATATCCAGTTAGTCACAGTAAGAGAAACAGGAATACACTGAAAAACAGGCCGATCTCCAACATCTCTACATAACCAAAGTGAACAACAAAAAGTCCAAGGAAACAGTAAAAAAGTCTCAAAGTCCTTCCTGAGGTAAAAACCTTTAGCTTTGATTTAAAAAGTTCAGGTTTTAGGACTAATGGTGGCAACCTCCAGAGTCATGGTGCAGAAAAAGCTTAGTCATTCCAACATTTGTTAGGAATGCTGAGTAGACCTCAGAGCTGACCATCTCCTCCCCCTCTGTATGTCCCTCCTTCCTGGCAGCTCCACATGGACGTACCATTGTCCAGTTTGTCCAAGTCAGAGGAAGCCCAACCTTGTCCCTCTACCACTGTCAGCCCAGGCCG